TCCGAACCACCCCCTGCTTCGAGGCGTCGGCTTTATAGTCAGTGGCGTAGAAGAGAATGAGAATCACAAAATCATGAGCCCTCTCTGTGTCAATGATATACGATCTGAACCTCTTGTTGCATTGCGTGATCTCCCAGAAGAGCATTATGATTTCAGGGGAGAATTTGGTCTCGCTTTGTGTGCCGGGTATATACGAACTGTTTGCCTGGAAAGGATGGTTCAGGATCCTCGTCATACCGTCAACAACAAATTGGAAATCTTGCGGGCGGTGCAATCGGCCGAGGAAATGACGATAGTAGTTCTTTGGTGTAGAACCAGAACTTGATTCCGGGATGGGGTACAATAGCACCACGAGCAAGAATTGCAACGTATACGTCACGAGGATCTGCTTAGGGTCCTTAAACACGAGCGTGTTATAGGGAACCCTCCAGCTGGCCGGATTATATTTAAGGGTCTGACTTGCGTTAGCTTAGTTAAGATGCGCGGGGGTGGGAGGATCCGTACGGTATTCAGGAGCGAGCAAAGTACAGACAGCACAACCTGCTTGTCTGGACATGTGCATAGATAGGTCAAAGCCCTGGTCCCTTTGGTAGGTAAAATATTGGGGGACATATACATGCTTTGACTGGTTAGAGTCAAGAGGAGACGCAGGATCTCGCAACGGTTACTCTCGTGTTCTTTGGTGGTTGGAACTGCAGTATTGCACCCTACGCCACTTTGCCAAATGGCATAGGTCACCTTGGGCTTTCCATGAGGTTGCTTGGTGACAGTAAAATCTGAAAAGAATAACAGGTCGACCAGTGTATCTATCAATTCCTCTGCCAGTGGTTTCGCTTCCTCAAACTCGGCCACCGGCTCTTTCGCCTCCATATCATCTGGCTGGGACTCATCGAAAAGGATTTCGTTGGCTATCGCCGCTCGTCTGGTCCGCTTACGTCGTGTACCCCAGAAGAACTGCTCTTCCCACTCTTGCAGACGGTCCACTTCATATACATATGGTAAGATGCGGGTGAGGACGCGTATGCAGTTCAGAGCATCCTTATCAGGAGCAAACTCAGAATCAGGAAATGAAGGATGATGTCGCAAAATGAACAGCCGCGACGTGACTGCTAAGATAAGCGTTTCGAGATTCTCAATCGCATTGTCTCTGGTCCTCCTGATGTCGGCAGGCGCAAAGAGACTGAAAATATCCTCCGATGATTCGGGGAGTTCCCAGAACTACGTGTGATGAGACAACCATTTAGCATTCTGCTGAGCTTGGACACAACATCTGACATCGAATTTCGGGGAGCGCAGGGCGTGACATACCGAGGTCCAGTAAGCATCATCAGCGGGAATATGTCTTTCTTCGGAGAGTCTAAAGATTCCCTGCTTGAACACTAGCTTGGAGTCACTGGCACCCATCGCACCAAGCTCATATCGGGGTGCTTATAGTGTAGCAAGTGCCAGGGACGTCGTCAAGGGGAGGGGGGCGACTAAGCGCAAGCTCGAATGGAGGAGACTGGAACGGCAGACCAGCTGGTCTAAACGGCCGCCACTGAGCGCCAGCTACTGGAAATACGATGCTCCTGCAGAATCTAGCCTGCACAGTCTAGCAAAGCGGCTCTTCCAGCTGATGGCAATTCGATTGCTCGTGAGATCGGATCGGGTAGGGTGGATGTGGAAGCAATGATGTAACTAAGCGACCAGATATGCTGTTCGCAGCTGTACCGTGCGTTAGTGACTAACTAGGAGGTTAGCGGGCTGTCCATGCAAACTGGTTTCAAAGACATTAGGAAACAGTGGAGCATCTGGTCACTAACAAGCTGGGTGATGGGCAGCACATCACAGGAGCGTGCCCCTACCTACGCGCTTCTACTCTCAGCTACTTGTTCGCCCAATATTCCATTCCTCATAATTCTCATTCTGTAATCGCCTCCAGCTGCCTCATCCCTATCCACGATGTCAGGCTGTAGCATTGTGCACTCTAAACCCAGCGTTTCTTAGGAAACCTAAAGCAAACGCGACCGAGTTCTTATCGTTATCAATAATCAAGTGATTGGCAGCTGCTGCCCGCTGTGGATGGTGGGGTCAGCGCACAGGCACCAGTCCTGTGCGCCCAAAGCCTCAATTGAAACGTATTTAAAGACGCGTGGGCTCCCGGCATCTTCCTTCTCTTCTTTTCCCTTTCTTCCCCATCCTAGTGCACGGGCTTTACGTATGTCAGTGAGGATTCGTCCGAGACTACGTTTTTGCTAGTTGAAAACTATACTATGACCACTTCTGTTTGGCTGCGGCCGAGCAGAGAATTTTTGACACACTACTTCTCTTGTTGAGAAATCTTTTCGTTTTCGTTGCACTCGGTCCCTGGTGGGCCGAGGCGAGGAAGACGAACGTCATGGCTCGCAAAAGGAATCGTGAAGAAGCATAGGAGACGATGTTATTCCGCGGCCATAAGATCACGGATCATCCTAGCGGTTCCTCCCGTCGTCTTCGCGTTTGAGCACGAGAGCGACTGGACCAGGATGGGATCGTTTGGTGGGCGATGGATCGATCTTCTGCTTGGAATAGATCGCGGTAGGGTCAAGTCGAAATGCATGTCCACTCTTGAGCATCATCGCCATGAGAATTTGTTGGATACTGCACGGGATTACGGTAGAAATAGCTCGCCTTCGGAAACATGACGAATTTTGTCCTAGTTGAAAGAAACATCTGGTACCTGTCTATATGTCTGCTCCTATTGAGGTTCGACAAAGTTCACTACACGTATAACGCCAGTCTGATTGTTGGCTTATTATCCAGTGGCTAACTTAAATCAAAACAAACAAGTCTTTCCATCTCCTCTCATCACAATCTGGGGGTATCGGAACGCATTACAGTATCACAAATATTCACCACATCAGGAGGCATATTATAACTAGTAAAGATCATCAACATTTCGCAGACGGAAAGCCGGCCCGCCAGGCCTTTCACAAGCATCGACGGTGCCCGAAGTTTACCCGAATCGTTGTCTTAAGCGTCCTGGGTTGAGGAGAGTGCATATAAGTCCGAGGCCACCCTCGGGCTGGCGGCTTCCGTCAGACTTGAGAAAGTCAAAAACTGATGGCCTTTCAGAATGTCTACTACCCAGACCGTGCTTGTCGATCCTCGATCTGCCCCTGCGACGGAGCTCGAGCTGCAGCCGAAGGACGTAGAAGCAGAAGCACCACCAACTACAGACGAGCCCCCTATTGATGCTGTGGCCCAGGAGGTTACTGCTACGCCAGTTCCCAAGTTGATTGTTGCTGGTTTCTCCTTCTTCTGCGCGGGTGCCAATGATGGTACTCTAGGCCCTCTTATACCTTACATGTTGACGACATTCGGTATTAGTACTGGTGAGGTTGCTGTATTGTACGCTACACCGTGTCTGCTCTAGGTGAGCATGGGGTAACTCTTCTCGTCTTACAGATATGCCTCGTCCTTCCTGGGATGGCTCGTGGCAGCCATCACGAATCCCATTCTAGCGGCTCACACCACGCTCGGTCAGATCCTAGCTGTTGGTGCAGTTCTCCAGTTGTTAGCTCAGTGCCTCCGACCCTGGAGCCCGTTCCCTATTTTCTGTATCACTTTTTTCATACAGGCACTGGGGATGGCATACCAAGATAGTCATTCCAACACGTTCGTGAGCGGTCTCAAAAATGTGCCGCACCGATGGCTCAGTTTTATCCACGCCTGCTACGCCTTCGGTACGTTTGTTGGCCCATTGATTGCTACTGCCATTTCTACGACTTCAAACTCCGGGTCGGTAATCGGATGGCGCAGGACGTATTTTTTTCTTATTGGCATTGGCCTACTCAATGTGGCTGGCGTTGCCACAACCTTCAAAGATACCCTCTGGACGTTGCAGCGTCTCACTAAGCCTAGGAGCCCACGAAATAGTAAGCTAGCGGTAAGGGATCTGATAGAGCCTCTGAGGTTGAAGGCCGTCTGGATAATCAGTCTCTTTTATTTCTTCGAGCTTGGCTGCTGGATGACTGCCGGTGGCTGGGTTGTTGAATTTCTCACAACAGTTCGTGGCGGCAAGTTGTCCAAGATGGGATACGTGAGCGCTGGTTATTCTGGAGGCGTTTTCCTTGGTCGGATCCTGCTGTCTGAACCTACCTTTCGATTCGGAGAGCGGAGAATGTTGTTGATTTATAGTGTTATTTGCGTTGGCTTGCAGCTTGTCTTCTGGCTGCAGCCCAACATCATCGCGAGCGCCACCGTCCTTAGTTTTATGGGATTCTTATTCGGTCCATTCTTTGCTACGGTGAGTGAATCATATTGGTACTCATTTGGTTTTGAGATACTCATAACTTTCCAGGGAATGTCGGTGGCCTCGAAAATATTGCCCAAGAAGCACTTGAGTGCAGCGCTTGGTAGGTTTATCCTGCGGATCATATAGGATACACATGTGTTAACTCTTGTGTAGGGTTTATTTTCGTACTAGCTCAAGCTGGTGGTGCTATCTTTCCTTCAATCACAGGGCTGATAGCTACGAAAGCAGGCGTTGCTGTTCTGCAGCCCATTGTGCTTGCCTTGATGGTTGTCGGTGGACTCTGCTGGTGGATGGTACCCCAAGTTCCGGCGCGCGATGAGTAAAAAAAATATTGAATACAGTGGTTTCATCTGATAGCCGGGGATATTTCGTATCTCGATTTCAAAGTTTGAGGGGTGTAACAAGCTCCGGTCTGCTGGTTCTACTGCTGAACCGTGTAGCCATTATTATCAGAACTGTATTTCCTTTTTCTCTGAAAACGTCCACACAGAACATATATGATATTGTCCTAACTGGACGACGAGATTCTCAAAAACTTCGGTATATCTCTAGACCCTCTACAATTTGTTATGAAAGGTACAACTTTATCTTCATCCCGTTTGGATTTTATTGGACAGCATGCTTTTTCTTTACCAAAACTGAAGTGGAGGCAATCGTCTCCAGTGCTCAGTGATTGGAGTCGTTTAGGTAGCAATAAGAACGGAAAACTCCGACAAGAACCGTAGGCCGCGTGGCGCAACGGTAGCGCGTCAGATTCCAGTTAAATTTCAGTTTAAAATGGAGATTCCTGAAGGTTAAGCGTTCAAATCGCTTCGTGGTCAAATAGTTGAAGTTCGCTTCGGCTTCTTAAATTTTTTTTATTTTTTTTTTTATTTTGCTTTTTAGTTCTAGATTTCATCGACATGGTTCTTCGCATGTGGTGGTGGCATGGTCAGTTTTCGGTTTCTTGGTTAGATCTCACTCTTTCTGACTGCCTGTTTGCCGCACCTACCACATATTGGCCCTTGGTAACTATTTCCTTTCCTTGGTGGGGATGGAACGTTTCCGGCCTGCCGAATGCGCCAACCGGAAGATTATTCAGGTTGAAGGTCTACTACTGTGATCACGATTTCCAAGTATTTTTTACTTTCCTGATTATTATTTCTGATATCTAAGAGCTATGTGAGATGTGATGCTGCAGATAAACAGCCATAAAGTCTACCTGTGGGGTAAACATTGGAAGGGAAAGGCACAAAAGGGCAGGGGAAAAGTTCCATGAATTAATCTCTTGAAGTTAGGGATGGAGGGACGAGGCTAAGAAGATTGTACCATTTTTGTCAGGAAAGTAATAAAGTAAAATGAAGGGGTATCAAAGAGAAACTGAAAAGGGGAGGGGAGAAACGATAAATGACATTGTTTTCTGAATGCTCCAAGTTATACGCAGGGTCGATATCAACCATAAGCCGCATCACTTGAACTTCTACTCTGGCTTCTTCTGTCCCCTATACAGTTTCAGCTTTGTGGCCATAGCAGGAATGTCAAACTTGTAGCCGATTATCATATCGTTGATGCCGTCCAAGCCGAGACGCGCTCCGAGCCAGGACAAAAATGCAAGGCCTCCAATCCACATAGTCACTGTTGGCCAACTGCTCAGAGTGTTCGCTACCACCTTCCTAGCGTACTCTTCGGCGGACATAGTTTGAGTTGCGGTGGCGGCGTGGCCATCGACGTTCTTCTGAATCTCAGCAGCCACTGGCGCGTACAAACTTGTCTCCGGGATTGTCTGGCGGCCGGACGCATTGGCAAAGAATTTGGTCTTGATGCCGCCGGTAACTATGTGGATGACTGTGATACCCAGCGGTTGCAATTCCACCCGCATCGTATCATTCAGGCTGTACAAGGCGCCCTTGGATGCGTTATCTGGTTTGGGTTAGCAGACCTGGGTTGATTATTTCCTCCCTCGATGGCAAAAAGGAGGCAGTCGAAATACTTACAGATTCCCTGCCACGGCACTCCCGCTTTCCAGCAAACCGAGCCAATGTTCACGACACGCGGTCGACCACCCTGAGCAGCTGATGCGGCGAGGAGTGGCGCAAATGCCTGCGTCATGGATAAAACGCCCCATACATTCACATCGAAGAGCCTCTTGGCCTCGTCTAGATCTGCATCGAGCAAGCTGACCTGATACCCATTGCCAGCATTGTTGACCAGTATGTCCAGTGTTCCACCGGTGAGCTCCGAGACCTTCTCAACCGCATGGAGGATGGATTGCTTATCTATCACGTCGAGCTGGACGACATCGAAGCCGGCCTCTTGGAGATGTTTGACCTTGGCGAGATTTCTGGCTGTCGCGAAGACACGAAGGCCGCGACGATGGTATTCTTCAGCCAGGGCAAACCCGATACCTCCCTCACTACACCCAGTGATGAGCACTGTCTGTTTCTTTGCAGCTGCCATGCTGTCCTGCTCTCGATTGAGGCGCGACGACTCCAAAAAAGAAAAAAGTTTATAAAAAAGAATCCGTGATGCAGTCACCTCGTCCTCTTAATAGAAGGTGCACCGGTCCAGGACACCGGGGTGTGTAGCTGTAGACCGCGCCCTTCACATACACCTTGCTGTACCTGTGTTCCAAAAGGGAAACCGGATCGCCGGATCTGGTAATGAAATGCTGCGTCTTCCGAGGTACTTTCGCAGTGACCCCTTCAAGCCCTTTACCCCTCGCCGGGGCGTTGGGAAGGCCCCAAATCAGCATGTGGATTTGCGGCTTGACATGCTAAAACCATTTTGGCAAACGTCTTGTTATATCCTAAAGGTTGGCTAATCCAACGACCCGCTGGGCTTTGTATAGTCCACCACCGGCAGCTCACGGGAATAAATAGTCCGTAGTCTTTCCCCATTGCAGGAAAAGCCACAGCGTCTAACAATAGAGTCGGATGGAGCTGTACTCCAACAAGAGTTGTCACACTAAAATCTGGCACAGGCCGGCCCTTTTTAGCTACCCTTTGTTCTTAAAGCTAATCTGATGAACCGTGTTGTCATCAATTGAAGAGCCTGCAGCCTCCAAACAGAGGGGATCGAGGATCTAGGTTTATGCAGATTATACTGCCGCCTCGCTGCTGCTGTCAACTTTATGTCAATTAAGAAAGGGGTTTTTTTTTTTTTTTCCCCGGGCTGTGGTTGTTAGCCTAGGGATGTTTGTTGGGAAAGGCCTATATGTGTTATGCTGTGGCGACTGTGGCAAAGCAGACTACAAGCCTCTATTCTACGAATGATTTATAGCTTACAGTCATAATACCAAGACATCTAAATTGAAGAAATCCTTCACCTATGGTAGCTCGATATACAATTTACGCACTTAACGGTCACTCGAGAAGGTTGGCCGCAAGTGGCCAGCGGTCGGCATTTGCACTACTCCTCGCACAAGGGGCTTTCTAATGGGCTCCCTATCTTATTCGACGAAAGCCTCCCCGTTTTACCCAACCACATCCAGTTGCTTAGATGTAGACTAACACCTGGGCATAGTAGCTCCCGCCACTGCTGAGGCTCCGCCCTCCCGTGTTGGATTATACTATGTATCAGCGGAGAATAATTCAACTTGCCACTCATCTGAGAGGTAATCGCTACGCATGTTTGAGTCGTACCCTTCTCCGGATATTTACCTGGCTCCTGTTAGCTCGGTGCTGAGCGACCTGCGACATTCACTTCGGGTGCCACTGTCTCAAAGCTGAGGAGTTCTACGTCCAGTGTTGCGGCACGACACAGCTAGCAAAACACGACGAGCCGCAGCTTTCAGTGTGTCGCACACACCTATTGGCTATGGCGCGCATATCACAAAACTCGACTTGAGCGGCTAAAGGTGATGTCTATCCGGTCTAAACCCAAACAGCCCAGATACTGAAGCATAGCCCATCGACTCGGATGTACCATCATGGCTGGCTGCGCCACGTCTATCACTCCACACCGCGCAGATCACCGTACTTGATATTCGTTTTACAGGTGGACAGACTGTTGCTGTCGAAGGCGACAATGACGCCGGGCTACCTCATACCCTGCAGTGTTCGGCGGCACTCTGATCCCACTTATGAGGAACCACCAGCCACAAGGTCTAACAAGGCTTGCTAGATCTGGTCTGGACCCTTGTAGATCATCTCCGAAGCATCGAAGTTGACCGGGGCCATCCACGTAAGCACCGCCACTTGTGTCCAGGGTTCGGATGTGCTGTATTGGTGGTGTCCTGGGATCTTTGCCCGGTTTTTGATGCTTGCCCAATACGTTATAGGAATGGTCGCACTCGCCACAGCGCAAATCAGGGTTGCGTTCAAGCCACACAATCCTTAATACAATCTTAATGCTATGCCTCAAGGGGATATTAATGGAACCTAAGGGTCCCGGGAATGGCTTTCGCGTGTAATGCGCGCTGCCCTTCTTACTCTTCTCCCTCGTGATTCTGTGTGGTGTTAAATCCTCTAATTGTTATTGTTCTGTTTCTTCTGCAGATGCTGTCCCGAGTCTCCGTTTGGATGCGAAGAAACCATGGCTGCCGTCGCCGTCGATGAGGCTGCTACCCCAGGCGGAGCCCTAGGCGAGGAGATCAAGCCATACAGCATACATGTAAGTGCGAGAAATCGATAGTTTTGGGCCAAGCGGGCGCATTCTAGCAGCAACCCGTCGATCTTTTGGCAGGACCCCTCCCTCCTCCCCTTTTCTGCGCTGCGCGCTTCGACTGTGGCTGACGCGCAGCCCGTACCTGCGGCATCTGCATCTGAATAGATATCTTCGCGATACCTCGACCTCACGAAGCAGAAGCTGGAGATCACTAGATTGCCGCACGAGCTTGCGGACCCGAAGTCAGACGATTGGTGGGCGCCAAAGCCCCGGGTTGAGCCCCTGATTGATTTCTGGTAAGCTACCGCTGATGCGACAACTCTCCTTCACAACCAACATAGTCTGTATATGGGATCCCGCCATGTAGAAACCAATTGAGGCTAAGATATGACCATGCTCGGCACGTCTCTACAGGCTAGAGCAGTATTCTTGGAGAGCGCAAGAGGACGAATTCAACGCTCAGTTGCCTCAATTCCGCACCGCTTTCACGATACCAGAGAGTGAAGCCCCAATCCGGACGCACTTTCTTCACATTCGCTCTACCTATTCTAATGCCTTGCCCCTTCTTCTAATACCCCCTTTTCCGTTCTCCAACTTATCATTCGGGCACATCGTCAAGTATTTCACAGACCCCGATGATGTGTCAACAAGCCAGCCTTTCCACCTCGTGGTCCCCTCTTTACCGGGACTTGGGTTTAGCGATGCACTGCCGAATAACACGCCAGTGGTATCCACTACGGGTGACATGCTGGACTCCTTAATGAAGCGATTAGGTTATGACTACTATCTCGCAACTAATGCCGGGTCGGGGTCGGCGTCCCCCGCCGAGATCGACTGGAAAATAGCAAGTTACCTAGCCACATACTGTGTCGGTTCCTGCCTAGGAGTGCACTTGATCTCTCCGCCCCTGGCTCAGCCAAAATTGCAAGAGGCGCCTCTGGAGTGGGCGAAGTGGTCCATCGCCAGCCTATTCCATGCGCCCATGCTAGGCTACCTCAGCGAGGACTTCTCGGCCCTGGCGAGGAACCGACCGGTGAAACAGGCAAAGAAGACCCCGACTCCCGCCCAGTTTGGCTTAAACCAGCTTGGTCTTCGAGAGCCCAACACGTTGGCTTACGCCCTTTGCGACTCCCCAACGGGGTTACTTGTCTTCGCGATGAAGAGCCTGCGTCTACTGGGTACAAAGAAGGAGTTCAGCCCGACTGAGATCATCAACTTCACCCAGCTCGCGTGGCTC